CAAACATTACTGAGGATGGAAGAGTTTACTCATTTACAGGGATCTTTTCCCCAATACGTGCTGCATTAGGAATGTAAGCTTATTCGGTTATTTACTGGAGCATTGATTTAGTTAGCTTTGTATTTTTTTATTTTTATTGCTGGGTCTTCGATTCTGCAAACCGATCAGAGCGGTGTGACTGAGGTAGCATATAAGATCGAATAATAAGGCGGAGCAACCAAAGGTTGTGCTTTTAAGCTCTGTGGGCCTCGGTAGGGTGGGATTTATGGGACAGCAAGTAACGTCATGCCGCAGAGACATGGATTGCAGACTGAATGCATTGGCATCGTGATACATGTGATGTCATTGGGACGTCTTGCATGGGTGACGTTCTTAGCGGATTACTTTTGAATTTCCTTCTGTGCCCTTTTTTTGATTGGTTTCAGATTTTATTGTAGTTAAAGGAAATATTTTTGCATGCCCTACAAAGAGGGCTGGCTTTGGGGTGAGATAAGCAGGTAATAAATAGAGTTGGAAGGAATTAGACAACCCAAGAAAAAGGCTGAAAGGAAATGGAAGCATTGTAAAATCACCTCTACTATCATTGGATTCTGTAGAAGAAGATGAAGTTTGGGCCAGATGAGAATACGTCCAGGAAAAGGACATGTTAAAGCAGCTAGATGTGTCTGATATCAGTTCCAATAACCCTTAGACAGCATGACCAATGGCTATGCTTATGAACATTGAAAATCCAAGTTGGATTAAAGTTCCTTAATAGCTGACCATCAAGCTTGAGAGTTATTCCGGTTATTTAAAAAAAGGAAGGTAGTCCTGACTTTGTGGCCCTAATTGGACCTGCAATTTCACCACCAGGTGGGAAATCACAACTGTGACTGTGCTTTCCAGCTAGAAAGAGACTGTTATGTTTCCCACCTTTGGTTTTTGCTTACCTCCTAGCCACTTCCTCGCTTTTTGGAATGTGTGAGTGCCTGCTTATTGTCTTATATACATCAAAAGCAACGCGATGCACTTGCAGCCTGAGGTTGGGAGCCATTGAGTGCCATGCAAAGAGCTTACTCCCTTGAAGTCCCTTTCTCTCCAATCTCTCTGCTCTGCAAGTGATTTCTATAGGCAAATCTGTCCTTTGACTGACCCTTTTCCCTCACATAGCCCCATAGAGCAGAGATTGGAGAGAAAGGGATTTCAAGAGAGTATCGTAAGCCGTGTAGCATGTTATTTTTTTTCAGCACCAGGAATATCTGTATGCTGTTTACAATGGCTAAGAAACAAACTGGAAATATCTTCAGAAAGCCCTGTGGGCAAAGGTGATTCCTGCATAGATTTTTAATTCATCCATCTTACAAGAAGCTGGTACACACCATTCCAAGTTCTACCTTTGTGTGTGTTTGTGTGTGTGTGTGTGTAAAATAATTGATTTTTTTTAAAATAGAGATATAGGGGAAAGATAATCAACTTTTGCCATGAAATCTATCTCTTAAATATAGAATATAATGTGGAGCAATCACAATAGTTTGGTAGAAGCTCTGCTATTTTTCTGCAATTTGTAAATGAACCCAGGTGTTATATAAACTCTGGCTCACCGATGCTTTCAGAAGGGAACAGGCAGTCAAAATCAAATCAGTCTGAGTTAACCCAATGATGGTATGTAAAACTGTCCTAAATAATGTTTCCTAGCAATACACAACTTTGATTTCTAGTGTCATCTTCTCAAAATGTGCCACCCTAGTTTTTCAATTGCAGTCACTTCCTATTCATTGAAATATCCTGCTCTTGGGAATATATTTTTAAATATTAAACCGAGGTACAGAACAAATTCATTGGGCACTTCTAGCAATGCTCAGGAAGATTTTTGCCTTAAACTCTGGAGAACTTTTGCTAGCATACCTTGATGAGGTGAGTCAAACTTCATTAATTAATTTGCCAACAGGGCAGATTTTAAACCCAAGAAGAACAATGTAATTAAGCACAACGAACTCCATTCCCGATTGTAATGCCTTGAACCCCTTCTGTATGATTAGAAGGAAGGCTCCTGAAAATGACTCGCGGGAGGGGAAAACATTCTAAACTTGCTGGTAAGTTGTTATTTTCATTTTAATAGACCATTCGCATAAATTATCCCTGTTTCCACAGGATCTGCAAAAGAAGAGAAACCAACAGTGGCACATTGAGTAGCAATAGAATAAAATATTCTATATCGTAAGGACTGTCACAGTAGAGTATTAGCTAAGATAATATTATTAGCTAAGGTAATATTAGTCTATTAAGAGACATTCAAAGGCTTCAGGTGGGCAATTTAACCACTACCTGGAATGTTATCCTTAAGGTAGTTTTCAAGGGCTGGTGGTGAGACTGGATGAATAATGGAAACTCCTCCTGTTGTTTGCTGATCGGGACGCCTGAATAAGGTCACAAGCCTACTCCTCCCCTTAAGCCTCAGAAACTGTAGTTTGCTATTAGCTTCTCATTCCTGGTTTGTTTGAAAAAGACTCTTGATTTGGATGTGATGATAAACCATAAAAGGAGCTTTGCGTTGTCACTCACAGTGGAAAGAAGAGCCAACAGCCAAGACATTGGCAAACAGACAACTTGATTACAGTTAGTACTACGTTCTTAGCATCTTGGTTAAAGGCAATCGGAGGGCTCCTTGGTGTTCTCTGATCTTAGTTGTTTTCTTGCAGATGTTTCATTACCCAAACTGGGTAACATCCTCAGTGCTAGGAGGAGAGTGTTCAAGGAACCAAGAGCAAACCGCACTCCTTCTGGCACTGATGGTGTTACCTAATCGGGTAATGAAACGTCACCAAGAAAACAACCAAGCTCAAAGAGCACCAAAGACCCCTCATTTCAACCCCGAGCTATAGATATTCTCCTTTATTGAAGGCAACCTTCCAATACAGTCATTATATATTTTTAGGGATCTGATCTCCGGAAGTAATAGATAGGTTTGTCCTGAGATGTCCCATCGTGGCACGGAGTAGCAGGGAGTGCATCATAACATTTCGCTTCAGGCTGCAATCAGCCTCTGCGGGCGCCCAAAGGGACGGCTTTCCGTTGTAGTTTCTTCTAGGAATTCATTTGTAGGAACAGGCTGTGTTGTCCAATCAGATTAGATAACCATTGTCCAATGTAAAATTGACATTGGCGAGAAAAGAAGCCAACCTTTTGGTGAAAACAGGCGTCCTTGTGACTACCTGACTTTCTGAGCAGTGATGGTGTGGGGATGAAAAGTCAGCTATGCAAACAAACATTGGTTCAGGGTCAAGGAAAGCGTTGACTTTATACTTGGAATGACCGCATTTAGCAATTTCAAATCCCGGCAACGCTTTTATTAAGCAAAGAAGTGGACAGAAAGCAGACCTAGATTACTGGTAAAGATAGTCCTCATTGACTTACCACCATTGATTTAGTCACCGTTTGAAGTTACAAAACACTGACTTATGACCATTTTTCACAACTTACAACCGTTGCGGCATCCCTGTGGCCACAACGATCCAAATCCAGACACTTGGCAATGGCTCATATTTATGACCGTTGCAGTGTCCCAGGGTCAGGTGATCAACTTTTGTGACCTTCTGGCGAGCAAAGTCATTGGGGAAGCCAGATTGACTTAGCTGTGGCAAGAAATCATGGTCGTAAATCAAGGATTACCTGTTGCTATGATTTGTAATCAATTAGCAACTTCTTAGGGCTAGTAACAGCTATCTCAACTATTGCTGAGATACAACCCAACCTGGAAATTTGGATGGGGGGGTGGGAAATGGCTCTTGTTCTCACAGTCTGTAGAGACTCTCGTCCTCCAGGTCCTGGTTGTCCCAAAGGTGTTTTTCTCAGGAGGCCACGGGACTTTCTTGGGGTTTTTTTGGGGAAGATGTTTCGCTTCTTGGAGAAGAAGCGAAACGTCTTCAAAAAGGAAAAACAAGTTTTTCAAAAAAGTTTTTCAAAAGTTTTTCAAAAGTTTTTCAAAAGTTTTTCAAAAGTTTCCAAAGTCCAGTTGCCTTCTAAAAAAGCACTTTTTGTTGTGGTTAGCCGGCAGCAGGTGCGGACGGCTGAGGAGAGTGAGGACTCAGATGAGGGGCCAGGACCATTGGGGAGTGGGCTGCTGCCTTCAGAGATTGTGGGGGCTGGCAGCAGTGATGAGGAGGTTCCCGAGGAGCTTGTGCCAAGTGCACGTGCGCGCAGGATTGCTCGCAGGAAAGAGCAGCTACAACAGCACGGGTGACTCAGGAGTAAGGCTGCAAGATAATGGCTCCTCCCACAAGAAGATAAAAGCCAGCTGTGAAACAAATGTTCTTTGCAGGAAGCAAAGACGTTTTGAAACTCAGCCTTGTGGACATTCCAGTATTCTGAGTTTGTATTTGAACATTTTTGTATTGCAAATTATTTCTTGTCTGTTATTTTTTGGCAAGTCTCGCACAGTTTGGCAAGCCTTGTGCTTATCACAGCTAATTATTTTGTAAAAGCATTACAAGGTTTCTGTTCTTTTTGGATTGTGTTTGATTTGTCGGAAAAGGGTGTGGATCAGAACACTTTTGGGACTCTTGTTCTAACAGAAAAAGGAACATTGTAGGCACCTGTAACACGTTTAGTCCAGCCTGTTTGCTGGATTCTGAATCATTCGTCCTCTGCAATGGCAACAGGTTTCTTGGATCTCTATAAAGTGAGGAAAAAAAGAGAGAAAGTGAATCTTGGCTTCTTTTAAAAAAACATACGTTTTTCATTCCTTCATTTGGTTTATTTCCTGCTGTAACTAATGCAGGCAGGTTGAGCTATAGTTGTTTTCTAAAGAGACAAACCAGACTGACTTTAATGTCTACATGCTTGAACATGCAAATGGGTAACCTATAAGTATAACTTAAAATGATTTGGACTATAATGGGTCCTTCCTTTCTCTCCTTTTCTTTGAAACTCTTGGATTTTTCCTACTATTTTTTTGATGTTGGCTGATACCTTTGGCAGCTATCCTTCCGGAAGCCATCATCATAATCATTGTTGTTATATGTTTAACCTGCATTTGAGAGGAGCGGGGGAATAAATACAAGGCAGTGAACCCATTTAATACTCCTATCGTCTATTTTCCAAGCATCAACCACCCTGAAAGATGGCTTGGGCTGAGAGAGGATGACTGGTCTGAGGGCATCCAGCTGGCTTGTTTGAGGCAGGATTATAACTCTCCTGGATTTTAATCTGGTGCCTTTAATCACTATACCCAACAGGTTCTCCCACAGAAGTAGTTTGGCCTTACTTTCTTCCTAGGCCGAGAGAGACAGAGATACTGGCCCAAAGTCAGCCAGCTGGCTTTAATGCCTAAGGCAAGCCTTGAAGTCACAAGTTACCTGGCTTCTAGGTGGAGTAATGGTACACCAAACATTACTTCAAACTGGCTCTCGTTAATGTTCTGGAGAACTTCCAACCCAACCTTCTGCTACTGCAGAAAAGCGGCCGGCCTCTTTCCTGTTACAAATAATCAGTAATGAAGCACAAGCCGCTAATTTGCAGAGCAACCTCTCAATGCTTAGTCAAAACCCCCCCTGTGTTTTATCCTTGGGCCGACTGACCTCCAATCTGGTGAACTGCCCTGTTAATTTACCTGCCTCTCTGCTTCTACCTGGAGAGTCTGCTTCCACTTCAGAATAGGGAGGGGGGAGCTCTGGAGGGCCAGGGTAAGGTGGGGGCCAGAGTGGTAACATGTTGAGAGAACCTGTGGGGTGAAAAAAAAGCATCGTCTCAGAGAATCAGGTTTAGTTTACTTTATCGTCATGGCATCTCGTACAACAAATCAAGCACCACCTTCAGTGCACATCATGACCATGAAAATAAACACAAACACACATCCTTCACCCTCCACACATTGAATTGAAAACCCCCAATATTGCATTAATATTGCACTATACAGCAGAATTCAACTGAGCTACTGCTCTGGGATAGAAGCTGTTTTTCAGCCTATTTGTCCTTGCTTTTATTGTCCTGTACCGTCTGCCAGGTGGTAATAGTTCAAAAAAAAAAAGGGTGCCCAGGATGAGACGGATCTTTGAGAATCTTTTGAACTTTCTTAAGGCAGCAGAGCTTCCAAAGAGGGGGGAGGGCAACCCATGATCCTCTGGGCAATGGCGTTAACCCTCTGGAGTGCTGTCCTATCTGCCCCTGTGCAATTGGCAAACCATGCACTGGTGTAGTATGTTAAGATACTCTCTATGGTGCAGCATTAGAAGATCACCAGCAGTTTTTCATTCAATTGTTGTTTCTTGAGAAGTCTCAGGTAGCATAATCTCTGCTGGGCCCTTTTGACCAAGGGCTGCAAATGTGAGCACCCCAGGTCAGGTCCTCTTTTAGGGTAACACCCCGAAACTTCAAACTGGCCACTTGCTCCACTCGGTCTCCATCGATAATCAAGGGCTGGAGGTCTGATCTGTTCTTTCTATAGTCCACTATCAGCTCCTTGGCCTTATTGGTGTTGAGGACCAAGCTGAATGAGCCAAAACGTCCTACTAAAATATCAATCCAGGAAGAACAACAGATTCATTCTTTGGAAATGGTACCTTTGGGGAATGGAATATCTTCTACTAAAAATGAAAAAATTATCTTGTTAAAAACTGAGTGAATTTTGATTGATTCTGGCTGATGCCCAGCGCATGCATGGAGTGTGACATTAATGACTTCTCAAATCTTCACAGGAAGCTATCCAATAACAGAGTACGGGTGGTCCTCGGCTTACAACCGTTCATTTAGTGACCATTCAAAGTTGCAACGGCACTGAAAAAAAGGGGACTTACAGCCATTTGTCACACTTGCGACCTTTGCAGCATCCCCTATGGTCACATGATCAAAATTCGGACGCTTGGCAGCTAGTTCGTATTTATGACGGTTGCAGTGTCACAGGGTTCACATATCGCAGGGTTCACATGTTCCACTTTTGCAACCCTGTGCCCAGCAAAGTCAACATGGGAAGCGGGATTCACTTAACATCCGTGTGGCTAATTTAACGACCACAATGATTCACTTAACAAATGTGGCAAGAAAAGTCGTAAAATGGGGCGAAACTCACTTAACCAATGTCTCACTTAAGAACAGGAATTTTGGGCTCAATTGTGGTCGTACGTCAAGGACTACCAGTACAGCAAATCCTTGACTTATGACCATAGCTGGGATCAGAATTTCCATTACTAAGCGAGGTGGTTGCAAAATGAGTCCCCTCCAATTTTTTTACACCTTTTTTGCCATGATTTGCCATTAAGCAAATCGATGCATTTGTTACGTGAATTGTGCAGTTTACTAAAAGCAAAATCCGGCTTCTTCAATTGAATTTGCTTGTTGGAAGCCATCTGGGAAAGTCGCCAATGGCAATCTCTTAACCCCGGGACACTTCAGCCAATGGTAAATACATGCTGGCTGCCAAGGGCTCGAATTCGATCTCATGACCAACTTTAACTCCAACGGTTGCAAAAGGAATGGAGGTTAAAATCGAGGAAGTAGAACTATAGAACAGTGACTTAACTGGCTAAGGCACTAGCTACTTTAAACTTTTCTAGCCTGGAGCCTTCCAGATCTTCCTCTTCTTCTCCTCTTTCCTTTTCCTCCTCCTCCTCCTCCTCCTCCTCCTCCTCCTCCTCCTCCTCCTCCTCCTCCTCCTCCTCCTCTTCTTCTTCTTCTTCTTCTTCTTCTTCTTCTTCTTCTTCTTCTTCTTCTTCTTCTCCTCCTTCAACATCATTTTAGCTGTTGTCTATCCACTGCAAAATGAAGGCCTCTTCTGCATGTTTCCAACCCATACCTGTCAACTCATAAAATATTTTTAGCGTTGCCAACAGAAAGGGAGGGGGGAGCAGTGTGGCAGCTTGGAAAGCGAAAGTGCACTCCATAAATAGTTTTTCAAAGATAGTAACTAAGTGACTGAAGTTTCTGCCACGCAAAATTCTAACTGGAGAGCCTGATTGATGATTCTTGGCTATGGATGTGTCCCATTGGAGAATATGAATTACGATACACCCAGGCAGTGCCGGACATGTTAACTCCCAATAAATCCTTTTGAAGTCTTGGAAGTTTGGCTCGAGACTCATGATTGAAATGGGGTTAAGTGCCAGAATCCTGACAATACGGTCCTGAGCCTTCTTTTGCCAATTGAGCCTGCCCTATTTGCTGATGTTGTCCATCCATCTTGTTTTAGGTCTTTTCCGTGGACGTTTCTGACCAAGTGGGATCCAAAACAAGAACTCGGCAAGCTTTCATATCAGGTCTTTGAGATCTGCATGGAATTCGCATGGCTTCGTCACTCAACTGTCACTCTCCCCAAGCCGCAGACTGCGGTGGATATTGACTTAGCCTCTTAAGCCTGGTCTCAGATGCCTCAGACGGCAGATAAGAAGCCTCCAGAGATACCTGTGAGCCACCGCGTATCTTCTCCCTATCTTTCTCAGCCGGCTGCCCTTAGGACTGGGGACAACGCTGTCCTCCAGCAAAAGGAACTGGGAGCGAACAGTCTTTTGTGGTTACAAAGGGAGGGAGGTGCTCTCTGTTTCCTCCCTCCCAGGAATTCAAATGTCATTGCCACCACCACTGCCCGGACAGAAGAACCGTGATCCTTACACATACGAGTGAGTGCGTTGGGTTTCTTGCACCTAAAAGCGAATTAAATGTCTTTTTTCTTTTTGCAAAGAAAAGCTGACAACTGACAAAAAACTTACCAAAAAAAAAAACCCTGAATGAAAAACTGCTGGTGACCTTCTACTGCTGCACCAGAGAGAGTATCTTAACTTACTGCACCTCTGTATGGTTTGCCAATTGCACAGTGGCGGATAGGACAGCGCTCCAGAGGGTTAACGCCATTGCCCAGAGGATCATGGGTTGCCCTCCCCCCTCTTTGGAAGAGCTCTACAGCTCCCACTGCCTTAAGGAAGTTCAAAACACCCTCAAAGATCCATCTCAATCCTGGGAACCCCTTTTTTTGAACTATTACCATCTGGCAGACGGTACAGGACAATAATAAAAACAATAACAAATAGGCTGAAAAACAGCTTCTATCCCAGGGCAGGAGCTCGGTTGAATTCTACTGTATAGTGCAACGTTAATGCAATATCGGGGGGTTTCAATTCTTCTTGGATGAGAAGCAAAACATCTTCAGAGAAAAACCAAGAAAGTGCAGTTGCCTCTTGAAAAAAAAGGCACCTTTGGGAAAGTTGGTAACACAGATAAGGCACACCTGTACTTACGGGTTGTCTGTGGTGCAGCGGGGTGAGCATAGGTATAGATGGAGGCAGTGGGGTATTCTTGGAGATTCGTAGCCTCTTTCAAAATATCTGTTGCATTAACAAAAAAAGGGTAAAGGTAGCATATCAGGAGCCTCTGTGGCGCAGTGATTAGAGCGCAATACTGCAGGCGACTTCTGCTGCAGCCAGCTGCCTACAATCTGGCAGTTCAAATCCCACCAGAGCAGAGTAGAGCGAATGGAACTTTTACAACTCGCCAGAAAACAACTTACCTGAATCTACTAGATCTTTGATCATGTTTAGGCAATCGGAAGCTCCATACTGGAAAGTGAATTTGAAAGCAAGAAGTCCCTGGGTGGAAGCTGAGAAGAAAAGTCTATGCTGAGATCTTAAGAAGTGGTGGGATTCAATATTTTTTACTACCAGTTCTGTGGGTGTGCCTTGTGGGCGTGGCATGGCTTGATTGGCATGGCAGGGGAAGGTTACTGCAAAATCCCCATTCCCTCCCCACCCCACTAACCTGCTTTCCAGTTCCATTCTCCTGTGCAGGGCAACCAAAGACGACCCAGCTGATCAGCTAGGACTTTGGGAGGTGGAGAATTGATGGGGTTGGGAGGGCCAATCAGAGGCGGTATTTGCCGGTTCTCCAAACTACTCAAAATTTCCGCTGCCGATTCTCTAGAACTGGTCAGAACCTGCTGAATACCACCTCTGATTATCTGTGCCTCTTCTCACCTGCTCCTTCTCCTGCGGAGCTAAGAAAGGTGCACTTAGACCTCTTCAGACGTGTTAAGAGGTAATGATGAGAATGACTTACTACCACAATTGGAACCAGGATTTCCATTGCTAAATAAGACAGCTATTAAGTGAATCACCATCAATTTTACTTTTTTTTTTGCCACGGTTGTTAAGTGAATCACTGCAGCTGTTAAATGAACCACCAGTGGTTAAGCCAATCTGGCTCTCCCCCGTTAACCTTGCTTGTCAGAAGCTGGCTAGGAAGGCTGCAAATGGTGACGGCATAAACCCAGGATAAATGCCAGTTGCCAAACACCTGAACTTTGATCATGTGACTATGGGGATAGCAGCAGCAATAGCACTCGGACTTCTATTCCGCTTCACAGTGCTTTACAGCCCTCTCTTAAGCAGTTTACAGAGTCAGCCTACCGCCCCCAATAATCTGGGATGTTGCAATGGTCATAATGTTGAGGACTGGTTATCAATGCTAACTTTGAAACTTTGGTTGTTCGCTAAACAAATGGTTGCAAGTCGAGGACCACCTGTATTCCAAGTGAGCAGGATAAAGTTGATCAAAGACTGACCTAGATGAACCCTTAATTTTGTCTCAAAGTAACCCGGCTGACCTGCCAACCTCACAACAGGGAGTTGAAAAAAATACAATTAAAATGAAAAAAGGAAATCAAATCAGTTTTAGTGCTAGATTTGCAGAACTACCAACATATAAAAGATATCTCTCTATAGAGATTTTGGGTGGATAAAATGGATCTGTAACAGGTGTTATGGAATAGTTTTCAGCCACTTAAATATCTATCCTAAACCCTAACCCTCATTTTCCCATCTTCCTATTCTATTCTATTCTATTCTATTCTATTCTATTCTATTCTATTCTATTCATTCCTATTTCTATTCCATTCCTATTTCTATTCCATTCCATTCTATTCATCCCAATATCTATTCTATTCTATTCTATTCTATTCTATTCTATTCTATTCTATTCTATTCTATTCTATTCTATTCTATTCTATTTCTATTCTATTCTACTCTACTCTACTCTACTCTATACTATACACAAGGGACTGAGATAAAACAACAACAACAACAATCACTACATGTAAATACAAACTTGTGTGCTGTATTTGCTCCTGGGTTATCTCATCTACTCACACTGTGTGCACTCTGACACAATTATCATCATAGCAAGCTAGGGCATTTTTTTTTCTTCCTTTCTCAATGAATGGGGTATTTATTGTGGACAGAACCTGAAGCTCACTTCCCTGAACATTTCCACCAGGCTGATGACTTAAGCGGAGGGAGAAAGAGATCTGCAGAGAGCGCTTTAGAGCAGCTGACAAAGACAGGTCAATACATTATGGAACCTACTCAGAGTTCCTTTGATGTGTTGAGGTTTGGAGTCGGGCTCTTCCTCCAGAAAGCAATCTCCCAACAGCTGCAGTGGAAAACGGATGATGGTTGATCCCTTATCTTTATGCTGGAATATTATCTAGGAAAGCAATCAAGAAATCAGGATAATTTCATGCAAGTTAGCCCGGGAAACAAATGCCCACCATTTGGACAAATGTACCCACTCCAAAACTGACCTTAAGGGAAGCACAGGTAGTCCTTGACTTAGAAACATCCGTTTAGTGACTCTTCAAAGTTACAACGGCACTGACAAAAGCGACTTATGTGCGTTTTTCATCCTTACGACCGCTGTGGAATCCCCATGGTCACTTGATCAAAATTTGGCCACACTTGGCCACTGGCTCATATTTATGACGGTTGCAGTGTCCCAGAGGGGTCATGTGATCACATTTTTGGTGACCTTCCCAGCTGGCTTCCAACAAGCAAAGTCAATGGGGTGGGAGAGCCAGATTTGCTTAACGACCGTATGATTCACTTAACAACTACCTTGCTTAGCAATGGAAATTTTGGGTACTCAACTGTGGTTGGGAACTACCTGTAAAATATGTCTAACACCCTTTCCAACACAAGGTGGGAAGAGAAGAGTCATTAAGAGAAGACTCATGCAAGGGTTCTCTCAAGACTGAAAAACGGCCAGGTTCACCCACCATAAATGAAAGATGTTTCTTATCAAAGAGCGTGGAAGATTCTGGGTTTTAATACGGCACAGACACACTGACACTGCCTTCTTCGGCCATCTGGGCCCAGAGCTCTTACTTTGTATTGAGTGAGGTACAACATCCCTTTCTTGGCACCTTGAAGTTCTTCTGGAATGTCTGGTTCCCCTTCCAGAAATAATACCACTTCACTATAGTGAGCGAGGACCCTGGAAGTGCAACAGATGGGAGAAGATTAAAATGCATCTCCAGAAGAAGAGAAGGAGGCTTCATAAGAAGGTCAAGTCATGCTAAAGATCGTTCGACTTCAGTGTTTCCCAACCTGGAGAGATTGTGGACTCTCTAGGGAATTCTGGGAGTTGAAGTCCATGTCTCTTCAAGTTGTCCAGATGGAGAAAGACCATTCTAACTGCGCTGGTGCTATCAACCCCTACTCCGTAGTGGTTGTTGCAACCGCATGCCACAACTTGTCCAAATGATATGAATTATTAGGACATTGATATAGAAACTTGCAAGACATTATTCAATATTCTTTTGATGTTATTGCTGGAGATAAGAACACTGTGTTTTTGCCAAACCTGGCAGATGAGATTCTGCCGAAACGTTGCTACAACTTTAAAAACACAACTATAATGACTTGGGAAAATACCCAAACAAAGCTGAATACTATATATTTTTTCTTAAGTTTTTGCGGGTAGTTACATGTATGGTATTCAGCTTTGTTCGGGTATTTTCCCACGTCATTGTAGTTGTGCTTTTAAAGTTGTAGCAACGTTTCAGCAGAATCTCATCTGCCATCATCAGGCTTCTGTATTGTGTTCATCAGGCTTCTGTATTGTGTTCTGTATTGTGTTCAGATGAACACAATACAGAAGCCTGATGATGGCAGATGAGATTCTGCCAAAACGTTGCTACAACTTTAAAAGCACAACTATAATGACGTGGGAAAATACCCGAGCAATGCTGAATACCATACATGTAAGTACCCGCGAAAACTTAAGAAAACACACACACACACACACACACACACACATACATTAAAAAGAGCAATTCGCTCCTTTGTCGTGTCCCACAAATTATTTGTTTTTCCTAAAGCATAAACAATTGCTGTTTGTTTCCACTTTAATAATACTGAATATCTCTCCTATCTAATCTTATGGTTTCTAGCTTTTAGTCTTCCATCTATGTTTAATACAGCCTAATCCCGCATAAAATATTGAGAACAAAATCTTGAGCGATTCTAGATATTCCCACATTTAAACTAGATCAACATGTACTCCCTTCCCCCACTAACTACTGAGTCAGTCTTTATTCCTATTATTTTGGATATATTTACCTTTCCTCAGAATTGTTGGCTGACCTAGAGAACTGATATCGAGTCACCTCCATAGTGAGAGAGAAGTCCCTTTTCTTTCTCCGATACTCAAACTCTCCCTTCAGATGAGGAGCACTGGAAACAAAGAGAAATATCTGGATCATGTCAGTATCTCTGTGATGTCAGCAGGTGAGGTAACAGCCCTGACTTTCAGTTGAAATTGGGGTTGCTATATATCCCTTTCTTTCTCTGAGGAGCTGCTTCCATAGAGCTAGATTTAAACTCTCTACCCACTCCCCTTTTCTGTCAATAAAAAGTTTTCTTAGTTCTATTAGGAAATTAATTTTTTAAACATATGACCATCTTTTTGTGCCATCATTTGCTTACAAGAGTTGTGTGCACGTTCCTTCCTTCCTTTTCTTCCTTCCTTCCTTTTCTTCCTATAAACTAACAGTACACGAGCAACTCTTCAACCTTTAACCAAAATACAAAATGAAAACGACGAGATCAATACAACTGTCAGGTTTAGAACAGTTTCAGTGAAATCAGCAGGACTTAATTCAGTAGTGGCAAATTGAATTCCAGTTAATTTCAATGTGCCCACTAAATGTACGAATAAATCTGGATTGTATATATGTGTTGTGGTTCGCCAGCAGCCAGTGCAGATGGCAGCGGAATTGGACAGTGGGGAAGAAGGGGCACCAGTCCGGGAGTCTGGGGAGGACTCGGACAAGGGTCCTGCGTCCAATGCAGAGATGGGGCCGGGACCACATGGGAGTGGGGTGCTGACCCTGGAGCCTCCAGAGTCTGGCAGCAGCGAGGCAGAGGAGCAAGGGGAGCCTGTTCCCAGTGCGTGTATGCACAGAGCTGCTAGAAGGCGAGAGCAGCTGAGACAAAAGGGGCGATTTGGGAGTGAGGCTGGGAGGTGATTGCCCTTCCCGTAAGGGATAAAAGTCAGACCTCAATGACTAACTCTTTGCAGGAAGCAAAGTAGTTTCCCCTTTTCAGAGACAGGAATTGTTAAATAAACATCACAAATAACCAGCACATCTATTAACTTGTTTTATTTGACACACAACTTGCAAAATTGCCGAGATATTTTTTTTCCTTAGCTACAATCTTGCCGCTATGTACAAAATATATGATAAATGTACTACACATATAAAAAATACAATATGCATTACATATATACAGTACAATGTGCAAAACATGGCAAAAGTCGACATATGGAATCGATTGTAGGGGTGCAAACAGCAAATACAAAGGCATCATGGTCTCTTTGACAAAGGCAATAAACCACCGAATGCTCGGCTCGCCAGTATGAGTTTTTCTTTTCCTTTCAAATATATCTATATATCTAGCCGTTAATAAGGCAACCTGTACAGACTGGTATTGATCTTCTTCTTTTCATAAAGTGAGATGCTAAGACAGAATTGGGAGTATGAAAAGAAGAAGAGAAACACTCGTCATGCGAAGCACAATGTTTACCAAGCAAGCAATACAGTGGAATAAGAGAGAGATCTCTGACCAGAGATCTATGTTCATGTCTTAATTCAGTTTCACAATAGAAAAAAAAGGGGAGTATTCCTATTATTCGACACTAAGACAGAAGCAACCTCAGAAATATCTACATCTTCAATACAAAATAAAGATCTCCCCCCCCCCCGCGGGTAACATTTGGAGGACAGTGCAGAAAAACTTCTATTTCTTTTTTTTCCTGGTAGATTAAATAATAATAATAATAATAATAATAATAGGGGTGTGGGCCTTGGTGAGAGAAGTGGAAACGCTTTGGTTCTTCCTGGGAAATTTTGCAATTACCACTTCTTTAAGGCTCTGGATTTCTGAACCTACATCGTCGTGCAGAAACTGAGAAAAAAATAAATAAATATACAAAATGCTGGTTTCTTGGTTCACGTTATCAAAAACAACGAAGGCACACAGAAACCTTCTGTTGTGATGGCACTTGCCAGATATTTTTATTTTTTTTTATTTTTTAGGCTAGGACTACGTATTAGTTCAGACACATTCTGGCCTTGGCTATAGGCAACACAGAGCTAAGGGACTTCCCAAGCTCAGATTAGATGTGCATATATTTGAAACCTCTCTTAGGTTCTTCTTCAACTCGCGCTACACGATTTGTTTGCACCTCATAAACGTGATTCATGAAACAAATCGCTTCCATTTTCACAAGGTTCCATTTTTTTATAATTATGAAGAAATTATACACGTCCTGCTAACATAGACTATAATTAACTGTACAATGGGGCCAGGAGGTCAAGAGCTGCCAATGATCGTGATTTCTTATCAAAAGGACAAGCGGTCTAATTTATTATCAAAATGCAAAATTCAACACAACCATATATTAGCGTTGCCTAACGGCGTAGCTTGCTCACTCACAAATAGGTGCAATTGCATTTCCGTATTCCAGTTCTAACAGAACTTTGCAACTATTCTCATTTGGGAGCAAGTGAATTCCAATGCAGCGTGTTAGGAATAGTTCCACTGACTTGATAAGTGAGGTATAATCCAGGCAAAATAAAAACACTTTAGAATCCTGTGGATTACCTGGAGACTTAAAAGTACTTTGGCTTTATCGTGGTTCGTGGGTCTAGGCCGGGGAGGGGGGATTCAAAAATCCCAATAATCGGTTTTCTGCCCAGTTGCTGGGTGGGCGTGGCCACAGAGGGCGTGACCTAACGGAACTTCCGGGGGGGCTGTATTTCACTTTCCCCAGAGTCCAGAAGCTTCCCTCGGGCCTCTGGGAGGGTGAAAACGGCCTCCCCCGGGCTCCGGAGGCCCTCTGGAAGCCGGAAACAGGCCCATTTCCAGGAGGGTCATTTTCCCCCCTCCCAGAGCCTCCACATGGACCCTGCACTCACCTCCATCCAAAACAGACCACGTGGAGTCCTAGGAGGGGAGGGGGGGGCAGCCGTTTGGTTCAACTACTGGTTCAGCGAACTAGATTAAATTTAACATCAGGTTCGCCCGAACTGGCCCGAACCAGCTGAATCCAACCCCTGGTCTAGGCTGTTTACAGATTGTGCACATCAACTATTAACTTATTTTGTCCAGAGTACTTACAGAAATCCTAGATGATCCTCTGCTTTTCAGAATGAAAAGCGGTTTGAAAACTTAAGAGGAAAAATGGTTTTGGGGAGTTAAGCCATTAAATATAAACAGATTCACTAGTTGGCTCTGGAGTTATAGCTATAGCTACGTAGGTCATGTTAGTGTGTACAACATATACGCCTGCAGTGGAAATCAAACCAGGTTTACTCAGAAGTCAGTCCCCATAAAATAACAGAATTTATTTTCTTAGTCAAAGGGCCCAAGACTGTCAACCCACTTTTTTTTTTTTTAACTGTTGCTGATGAATCAAGAATTTGATGTATTTTTAAAAAGAGAGGTTGGTAAGAAACATTTTTATATATTCTGTCCCTATTCGGCTACAAAAGGACTTGAAAATGTCACCCAAATAGATCTGTTAAGCAGAATTTTTTGCATGTATAAAAAATGTCCAAACTGAAAACCATAACCATGATATAAATATTAACTTTCTCTCTCTGCACAATTGCACAGATTTATCCAATATGTCGATAATCTCTAGTTTATGAAAACAATGAATACCATCATTGAGCTATCACATGGCATCATATGTACACGGATTAGGAATAACAATAACATGCCACCTTGAAATCTCTATATTGGAGGATACTGAAGAAATCTATACCCTTATAGCAGAAACTGGTAGTAAAGTATCTCATTTCGCTTATTTGTTCGTTGTATCTCTCTCTCTCTCCTTCCCTCCCTCCCTCCCTATCTCAAACTTACAACTCATTCATCCCTATCTGACTTCTGAGCAGCCTATTTGGCACTACATTGCAAGCATGTATATTCTGGACACAGAAGACCAGCTGGCAAAGAGATTTAGGCTTATTCTCCCGACATAATCTTTGCTGCTACTCTCTTCCTTCACGGTTCTAGAAAGAAACAAGCCAACCTAGGCAATGGTAGTTTTCATTCTAGCCATTCTCCAAAGTATGATCTTCCAGATGGTGTAACTGCAGGTGGGGTGATCCTGAAACTCCCATGAGTGGACTGATCTCATAAAAGAGAAAAAGAAAAGAAAAAAAAGCAAAAAAGCAGGCAATACTAAGCAAATGAGAACCACGTAGCTGCAGTAAAAATTGATATTTGCTCAGAAGGCATGCTTAGTACTACTAAACAAACTCCAAGTGTTTTTTGTGCAGAGAAAAACGAGGCTAGCAGTGCAATTTGTAATCAAAGATAAGGATCCAAATCAGATTCATCTTACAAAATATATATACATATATACATATATCAAGTGTGCAGAAATTACCCAAGCAATAATATATATGTCTGTATATTTATATACATACATACATACATGTATGTATGTATGTATGTATATGTATATAAACATAAAGAAACTGTTCACAAATATCAGGTTCACATACACTTGGTAAAGATATCTCAGGTTGTCCGATTAAAAGCAAACCCAGATATGTTTCATAATAAAGTTCTGCTTTGAAATGCACAGAAAACAACACACACTCTTAACCTAAAAATAAATAAGATTCCGTTATAAATGTTCATGATCCCTTAATGTTGCTGTTGTTTTCTTCCTAGAAGGAAGCTTCACACTGCTTACCACACTATGCTGCCTGGATTTTATTCCAGGCTGTGTTTGCATTCTCTGTTGTGCATGCTCCTGTATGGCTTGGATAGCACACAACGCATGAGGGCATTTGTGTAGCATGGCACCACACAATACTTTTTTTAAAAAAAAAGCTCTATGTACATGCTCTCTGCAATGGCAGCCCAGTCAGTAAGAGGACCAAAAAGCTTCCTACAAACTAACAGACGATTGTGGCACCTTCTAAGCCAAGAGAGATAGCAGATGGCGAGCCGGAAAGTACAAACTATTGCTTACAAGCTATAAGAAAGTACTTCTCAAACTGTGTGGATCAGGCTCCGTAGACAGATCCTGGCAGGTTCCAGCACACAGTGAGAGACGCACACCCGCATTCCCAGGAGAGGTTTTTTTAAAACCAGACTGCTGGCACGTTTTTAGAAGCTCCGTGGATCCCACATCTTGCGTTCTACTCCACTACACGCTGCCTATACAGTATTGACATTTTAACATGACAAAAGAGAAAGAAGTTTGTTCAGTGTCAATAACTGGACTGACAATCAGGGAGGCTGGGAGGGAGCTGCTCGGAAAAGAGGGTTCTTTTACCATTTACCGGGGGGTTCAGGTAGAACCAATTTTGAAACTACTGAGATGCACCATGTATAACAGAAATATATCTAACGGTATAAGTCAGCTCCCAGCCCAGCACGTTTCTGTAACTGCTATGGGGGCAAGGAGATTAAGAAACTAGAAGTCTGATACCTTTGACAGGTACCAAACCAGGGGAAGCTAATGGAACAGCCTCCCCTGGTTTCTCCAGGGCCCTTCTCCTTGTTCTCTATTTGCTCTGGGGTAGAAGTCAAAAAAGAGAGGTATATATAGATAAGCACATCTTGCTGAAAAGGCAAACTGTCCCTTAAATTCAAAGGTGGTTGGGGATGGGAAGTCAGATTTGCTAATCATCCATATTAAAGATAAAGTCAAGAGATCTGCTCTTCTTTGGATTAAAACATCATATATGATGCATCTAAGGAAACTATTCTAACTTAACAGCAATATAGAGCTCATATCTCATAGTTGTCCCTACTGAACCCAGGATAGAGTATTGAATATATTATTTCAAACTGATATATGTGGGAGGAAAAGATATTTAGCGGAAGATTATCCTCCCTCAAAGGATGGGGAAATGGAATGGTAAAATTGAAAATACTTTCTCTCAAAGTCATTGCATACTGTCTGGCTGAAAACACTCCTAAGCTCTAGACTAAATCACAAAGAAAGTTTAGTGTATTGTTTGAGTAAGAGCATGCAGCAGCTCTAAAATAAGAATGCAAAATGGCGTAAGAATATTGTTCCAAACAAGGATCCCAAACTGATGTTTAGGGGGAAGTTGTCAGTATTTTTGGTTTGGGCCTTGAGCTACCTTGACACCAGAAATAGTTCCTAAAACATCAAAGCTTGTCTCGACAATTAAGCCAACCTGAATTGGCATCTTCACAGTTATGGCTTTCAGGAGAAAACAAACCGGCAAATATGCACGGCAAATACACAACCGGCTCAAAATATTGTGTATTGGATAATAAACACTAAACAAAACACAGCTTGGCGGGACCGGATTAGTTCTCCATTGAATCAATGACAATTCTATGGGGTTCGTAAGAGGACAAGTAAAAAAGGTCCCCAAGCATTGTTCTAACGAGAAACAATCCAAATTCTGACCAGGTTCTGCTTTTCAAAAAAAAAAAATCGAATTCATCTGGTTCTGTGGAATGAAAAGACAACTTTGGCTTGAAAAACCCAATTGAGCAATCTCGCAGAACAGTGCTTCCCCCTTGGCAGCTTCGTTTGTGCATGGACTTTCACCCCACCCCCACCCCCCCCAGAATTCTGTCAAGGGTGATGCTCAATGCAGAATTCTGGGACTGATTGGGAGTCTACATACCTGGAAATTGCCACGGTTGGGAAACACTACTGCAGAAGGTTGGTTGGGGTTTTTTTTTTTTCCTTTAAATTTCTTCATGATTAAAAAGACAGCTAGCTGAGCTTTACAAACAGGAGTTGAGACCTGCCGTTTACAGTTTATTTTTTAAATCTCCACCTTCGAGAATATATATATATATATATATTATAGGCTATGGTGCAACATTGGGAAAGGCTGAATAGCTCTGATGGTGTTCAAAAGTATTGGATGTTGAAGGGATTTTGTCAATTTTTCAATCCAGCTCTAGATGCTTTGCATGCAGAAATTCCTGGCATATCCAAAGGATACCCAAAGGTGCATGTGAAATTCTGGAGTTCTGCAGGGAAACAGATGCTCCCTTTCCTGTGTTCATTTTGGATAGAACCAATTCAAGTTGTTACATGGGTGATGGCACTCATTAATGCATATGCTATTTAAATAAAAAGTGGGAAATTCTGAAAAGTTTTAGAACGTCCTGACTACGGAGGTAGAATGACTACAAGTCCACAACTCTGCTTGCTTTTGTCAAATCTCGGAAAAGGAGCATTGCCAGAGACTTGGGGACAAGTGTGCAACGTCACAACTTACGCACAAAAGGGAGGGGGCTTGCATTGGGATGGCATGGCATTGCTTTTGTCAGACAGAATTTTTGTCCTTTATGTTTCTTTTTCACAGCAGTATTAAATCCCAGGCTTCATTTAAAAGATGATGCTGGTTTCAAAAAAAGCTCTGTGTGTGTATTTCCATTTTTAAACGGTGAAACTTAATTCATAATCCATAGGGTGGATGAACTGGGGGGGAAAAAACCCTAATCAGGGGCAGTGCTCCATGAGCACAATACTAAATTCTAAAATGAAGAATAACATTCCCAGGACTTTAATTTTGGATAAGGAGTATTATAACATTTAAATAGCCCACATCATTTAATAATTCAGTTAGCAATTTTTACTGTATTAACCAGTCATCTTCAATTTAAAGTTTAATGGTGATTTTAATTTTTTTCTTTAAAAATGGTATTTTAATTATTTTCTAAATAATGACATACTAAAAAAAATAATCTCCCTAACATTTTAGATCCCATTTTTTCTTGTTTATATTTTCTTATTTGGTTTTTACTCCTATATTCTTTTGATATGTCCCTTAAATTTTCTCGGTTTATGTTTCTTTTTTCAAAAGGGCTTAATAAATTTTAAAAGAAAGCAGTTCTCCTATAATAGATATACCTTTATTATTTCTAATGCCGTAGATTATCTTCTAAACCAAATTAATGGGAACACCAGATTTAAAAATTTTTTGATTTTAAGTACTTTAAATATGGTAACATGACAACTGATGTTTGGAGTGGGGCAAGTTTGTGAAATATTTTTCCCAATGTGCACCAGTTCCTGCGTATCCTCTGCACAAATTAAATCAAAGTTTTACCCTGAATTTAATTCATTATTACACACGATAACAATTCCCATTTCAGAGGTTTGCCATTGCCAATAATTGTCATGGGGGGGGGAGGGAAACTTCCTTTATTTTTTCTTTCAGATGCTGCACACAGACAATCTCCTTTTCATACATGAAAGAAGATAACATTTCCCTAATGGCACACTTTCTGTCTACAGGTTATACGATTAGTTGTATCACACACACACACAGACACACAAATGTCAAAACTAACCAAAAGCACCTTTTTAATGTATCAAAGACTTTTTTTTTTCAAGTAATATGGTCAATTTAAAGCTGAAATTCTATGCATCCTTATAGGAGAAAGAGCTGCTCTGGATAGAATGGCGGTTATTTCTGAATAAAGATGCATAGGATTTTAGCAGGCTCCACAAATAAACGTGGCAAGTCAAAAAACGAAACATCTGCTCGTCTTTTAGAAGAATTGACTAGTGGGAGAAAGGAGCTTTTTAATTCATGAAGAAATCCAAACAGCGTCTAGTTTCATCCTTTTATAAAATCCCATTGGGTTTTAGCTCAGTCAGAAGCTTTGTCATCATGTAACTGAAAGCTTTGTTGAGGGTGTCCGTAGAGACAGAAAGGTGCTACAGCATTGTTCTTAAGCCAAATAGTTTGCTTTCAACGGGCCCACTCACCTGAATCGCTGCATCGTGACACATTCTCCTAAGCTTACAGTAATCACAATCCTTTCTCGTTGGAGCATTCCTAATCTTTTTTTTTTTTAAAAAAAACCTTGTACTCTGTGATTTATTTTTTTAAAAAATCCCTAAGATAATTATAGAGATGAGCTTGAAAACAAAGGAGAGTTGAAACAATGGACCTTTTTGTTAAAAGTGGAGCTTTTAAAAACGTGGTCAAGTCGGTTCTGCCTTTTGCGGTTTAATCCCACTGCAACTGCAGATCTTGCGGATCAAGGAAATCTGTGGAAAACATGCTGGGAGCCGTCGAGCTGAGCGGCGTCAATCCCGACGAAGCATTTGGCATGGTGAGGTCTAACCACTCCATATTGTCTAAATTTGGGTCTGGGAGGTCAAGAGACAAACAGGAACTGGGGGTGAACTGTGAGTCAGAGGTCTCCATTGGGGAGTGAGAGGGATCTAGGATCCCAGAATGATGAAGGAGGTCATTCTGTAGATCCTCAATGACCGAGAAGGGTTCCTTTTCCTCGTTACTGCTTGTCAGGTGAGCAATCCCATTTCCTGAGGGCAGAGTGCCTTCCAAAAGAGCTTCCAACTGGTTCTCCAGAGATAAAGAGAAATTGCTCGTTGGTTCTAAGGAGAGAGGAGGGGCCATTTGGACTTGTGGGGGAGGACGGGATACCACAGTGTTGACTGGCATTGTGGTGATGTTGGCGGTAACTGGCCTCATTTTGGAAATCAGAGAAGGTTCTTCCTTCATAGGCATAGAGATCTCTGTAGAAAAGACAACGGCGGATAAATCAGTTTTTTTAAAAAAAAATCTGGTCTTTTATTGTTTTTATAAATATCTCAAGGGAGCGAATATACTTAATGCTCCTTCTTCCTGCTATTTTTCTCCACAACAACAACCCTGTGACGTGGGATGGGCTGAAAGAGGGGGACTTGCTGAAAGTCATTCAACCAACTTTCATACCTAAGGTAAGACTAGAACTCCCAGTCTCCTGGTGACTGGCCCAAAGTCACCCAGCTGGTTTTCAGGCCTAAGGCGGGACTAGAACTCACCATCTCCTAGCGATTGGCCTGAAATCATCCAGCAAGTTTTCATGTCTAAAGTTGGAACTAGAACTCATGTCTCCCGGTTTCTAGCCTGATGCCTTAACCACTAGACCAAACCAGCTCTATGTTTCATTGAATCCATAAAGTAAAATGGAAAGAACTCACTTCAGTGGATTGCTTTAACAAAATACATTTTTGACATAGTGAACTTTTATTACTCTTAAGCCCCTAAGTCAATCTTTACTCCTGAACTTTGTTATAAATAATTTACAAGGCAACATCAGACCAACAATATCAGTATAAAAAAGGAGTATTACTTTGTGGCAAACTTTCTATCAAGGGAAACCATTTAGGACTATAACCCATGAACTAAAATGGCTTTCGGTTTATTATTAAACAGATAACCATTTCAGTGAATCAATTACAGTATTTCAAATTTTTTCAGCTTAGGTCCACAGACCACTATAATGACTGAATGGGCACAAGATCTCTACTCAGAACAGCAGATTAAAAACTGACTGAATCAGGAAAACATAACATAATTACCCCTCCATTTGCTAGTTAAAAATTATCAATAATTGTTTGATCTATGACAGAGATAGGGACTGAGGCAGCCTGAGATGGTTTTAAAATTATTACTTATACCATTAATGATGAACACAGAGATGATAAACTGGATGTTCTGTGTTGAATAATAAACAACAAATCTGGTACTGTTATAATCCTGAATTGCCACGTTTGATCTTTCCGACTCAGCCAAAATGCTGCAGGAGTCCAAAATGGTCCCTGTACAGATATTCATAGCTAGTCGATCCAGCCACAGAATATTATGAAAACCTCTGGCCTTCAGCCTGCCTGTTACATTCAAAACACGATGGCTTGGCTGGATCGCTGGTTATCACTTCCAGTTCAAATGATTCACTTTCAGAAACTGCCAAAATGCCCCTGAAATGGTATGATTTAGGAGGAGGTTTGGCATGGCCAAGAGGGAACAATGTTCTGTTCCTGGATTAATTTTGCACTTTTTGTTATTTTGTCCAATAACACATACAAGTCGTTCCACCATTAAAATAAAAACAATGGATTCCGTATCTTATTCCTCAGAACACTCCTAACGTGGTCCTCGAGATTAAAGACATTCAAAAATCAAATTCTCAAGCACAGGTAGCCCTCAACTTATGAACACAATTGACTCCAACATTTCTATTCCTTTTAAGACCTTTCTTGACACAATTGTTAAGTGAACATGGTTCACTTAAGACTTAACATGGTTGTTAAGTGAATCTGGCTTCCTCATGGACTTCTGCTTGCCAGAAGTGCCAAAAGGTGATCACATGACCCCATGACCCGGGGACACTGCAACTGTCCTAAATATGAATCAGTTGATAAGTGTCTGAATTTTGATCACCATGGGGATGCCACGGTGGTCGTAAGTGTGAAAAACGGTCACGAGTCCCTTTTTTCAGTGCCGTTGTAACGTCCAATGGTGACTAAATGAACAGTTGTAAAGTCTACCAGTAGAGTCATGTGCTCTATTTCAGAGCATCTCACCTCCGCTCTTAATGAGGATATCAAAAAGATCGTCCATCTGCTGGCTGTGGGCACTGGAAATCTGTTAACGAAGGAAAAACACTGATTATTTTATCACAGCATTTCCCAAAGTACAAAGATGATTTGTATTCTAGGATAGTTTGGGATCAGAGGTGGGTATTCAGCAGGTTCTGACCAATTCTGGAGAACCGGTAGCAAAAATTTTGAGTAGTTTGGAGAACCGGCAAATCCCACCTCTGACTGGAGATTTTACAGTATCTTTCCTCTGCCATGCCCACCAAGCCATGCCTACAGAACCGGTTGTAACAAAATTTGAACCCAACCACTGGTTGGGATCATAAAAAAATGTAGTGATAGAGTCTATGTTTGTATTTAAGCTATAGATATACAGAAAATCCCACTAGCTCCTGAAGAATTAACAATCTGATGCGTATCTATATTAATATATTGGACACCCAGGGACATATTGCAGATTCGAGATTAACTGCTAAGAATTCATTCCGCTAAAGCTGAAGTCCAAATACATACTAAATTAGAAACAGACTCCGCTGAATTCAATTAGAGTAAACATGAAACGTTCACAAAACACATTTCTGAGAAATATGCTTGCAAAACAAGTCTTTCTGAGAAAAACCCGCCTACTATCATACAAAACAGGTGCACTGTATAACAGGTAGTAAAAAAAGAAAAAAGGAAACAGTGAGGAACATCTGTTCCAGTGGTGGGATTCAAAATTTTTTACTAACTATTCTGTGGGCGGGGCTTGGTGGGCATGGCAGGGGAAGGATACTGCAAAATCCCCATTCCCTCCCCACCCCCCCTAACCTGCTTTCCAGCTCCATTCTCCTATGCAGGGCAACAAAAGAAGACCCAGCCAATCAGCTGGGACTTAGGAGGTGGAGAATGGATGGGGTTGGCAGGTTCAGTCAGAGGTGGTATTGGCCAGTTCTCCGAACTACTCAAAATTTCTGCTACTGGTTCTCCAGAACTGGTCAGCACCTGCTGAATACCACCTCTGATCTATTCAAAGCACGTTCACCAAAGCATTTACTATACAGAAAAAGAGCAGCAAGCATTTTCCCTGCTAGCTATAATTACTCAGGTAAGCTGCTTTTCTGCCATGAATGTCCAGGTGCATTGCCCTTTGCCCCAAATTTTTGTATTGTTCTGTCTTGTGGAACTATTAAAGGAAAGTTCATACCACTGGATCACCATGAATCATCCATACCATGGATGACAAGCTCTCATCCAGGTCTGTTTCCAATAATATCTATTGACTGCAAGATTCTACCGTGCCAATAAATTTATACAAAACCCAAAAATATTAACCCTAGACTTTCAACCATTGACCTCACCCCTTTCCTAAGAAGTCTGTAGGGGGCGTGCATAAGCGCACCAACGTGCCTACCGTCCCTGTCCTATTGTTTCTTTTATTTTTCTGATATGTATCCATTTCATGTATTCATAATTATGTTTATACCTATACCTATTATCTTGTAAGCGATTGACAAATCAAATAAATAAAAATAAATGAATAAATTCATACTGGCATCCTTAATGTTAGTCAACCCATATCCCAAACAGGAAAACAGCCCTATCTGAAAACTTCACTTATCTTTTAATGGAACAAAATAATCGAGGGTAGCATATACAACAGGGGTGTCAAGCTCGCGTCATCACAGCGGTGTCACGTGATTTATCAGGACTTTTTTCCCCTTCGCTAAACTGGGCGTGGCCAGCGCGTGATGCATTTGGCCCGTGGGCTGGGAATTTGAAATCCCTGATAAAGACTAATCATACCAAAAAAGGACTTCTTTTTTTGAACTGGCTTTTTATTTTATCTGGCCCCTTTAATTTCATAATTGGTTATGCAGCTGCCCAGTCAGTTGCCTTTAAATTTTAGTCTCCTGGCCAATAAGCAGAAACATCAGAAGAAGGGAGCAAAGAACAAAGAAACAAGATTTTTTTTTTAAAAAGAGGTACAAAGCTTCTAAAGTACCTTCATCAAGAAATTGGGTTACATTCTCTTTTAACTGGCAAACTGAATTTGGTAATTCCAACTGAAAAGCTTTGTGTGCAACGCCCTTCCAGCTGGTGGTTTTAGCAAAACTTGGCAGTGTTAAGGAGAGGAGAAACTTGAAGTGGTTGGACCAGCAAAGTCAGACAAAATACCATTTCTCCTGTACTGAACCTAACAGCAGCATCTGCCATGAACTGGCAAGCAGAATTTCTTGCTGAAGCAAACTGATATCTGGCTTCCTTCCCCTCCTCAACTAGCTGATCTGTAAAGAAAGCTTCTCATTCTCTTTGATCCTTGACAGCCTTGTTATAAAAGCTGTTGCCAAACTGGCTGGCTGAGACTGTTAAAAAGTCATATTCCATCAGCTATATTCATGAGTAAGCAGGTATTTTATCTTGTCACAGATGCCCTCTCCTTAAACGACCTTGTTTTTTTTTGTTTTTTTTCCCTTAAAACATTTTTGGTCTCCCTTACAAAGAAAAACTCTCTCTCTTTTTCTTTTTCTGATGAAGGATTAGTTGAGCCAAACCCCAATTCCACGGTTTGGCATGGCTCTCTTTGCCTGCCCTCTGAGGGAATGTTGACATGGTGGACACTCCGGAAACCAATTCGCTTTTAAGATTTCTGGAAAACTGCAACTACGCATCTTGCCGTCTGTGTTTTTAGGACTGAGTAGCGATGTCTACTTGAAGTTAGAGCAAATGGAAGGGCTCACATCACATCTCTTTTATCGATTCCTTAATGAAGCTGGGTGCCTCAATAAGATGAATTAGAATAAATAAACAGCTACAGTAACTGCTTCCAAACTTACTTCTTGAGAAGAATGCAGGCTGCGCGTCTGTTTGATGGCTTCTTCGTAGCGTGGAGGGTCTTTTGTTTTGGTTCCTGAACTGTTGAACAAGGACTGTTGCAAAAGGTATTGCTGGGACTGAGCTGGGGAAGGTGGCTGCCAGAAACAAGGGATTCAGTTAGCAAACAAATGTGTCAACAAACAGATTTTAAATAAAGCTTTTAAAGAGACCCATCTCTCCTTTTTTATCTCCTTAGTGATAGAGGGCATATTTATCCTGTTTTGTTATTAAAACCAATCTCAAATCACGGAGATAACGTATGTAATGTTTTATTAAAAGAGTGAGGGGGGGACACCACTTCTCTTCTAAGATAAGCATGAGGTCTGCAACCAACAGACACATGGGATCTCCAACACATGAAGGGTTTGTTCTGACTACAGTAATCTCTTTCCGTTCCATCCTCAGACTTGATCAAAACAGCTTCTACTGCAACATTCCCAAAGGGAAGGAGTTTTTTTCCCTCCAAATCTGAATTGCAATAGCACTTAGGTTTATATACCGCTTCACAGGGCTTTCCAGCCCTCTCTAAGCGGTTTACAGAGTCGGCCTCTTTGCCCCCAACAATCTGGGTCCTCATTTTACCCACCTCGGAAGGAGGGAAGGCTGAGTCAACCTGGAGCCTGGTGAGATTTGAACTGCCAAATTGCAGGCAGCCAGCAGTCAGCACAAGTAGCCTGCAGTACTGCATTCTAACCACTGCGCCGCCGTAGCTCATAATGAATGCTATGCAGAGGAGGATTTAACTGGCAGGTTAACTCCTCCTTCCCAGAGCACTGCAAAGGCTTCAGGTGGTCTGCTATCCTACCCACCTTTCTGCTTTCGAGTCACTCTCGACTCCTGGCAAACTAGAGGAACAAATCCCTGTGGTTTTCTTGCAATATTTCTCTGAAGAGTTTTGCCATTGCTAGGGCTGAGCGGGGGGCATGGCTGGTTCAAAATCACGAGTGGCTTCCGTACTTGAGCCAGGACTAGAATTCAGGTTTCCCTGTTCTTCCTTCAACATTTCAATATCTCCACCAAACAGTCTCTTACATGTCCTACGTTAGGCACTAAGAATGGAACCCGCAGCAGCTTTTTCCAACTGTGGTGGCGCTGTGGTTAGAATGCAGTATTGCAGGCTAACTCTGTTCATCACCTAAAGTTCGATCCTGACTGGCTCAAAGGTTGACTCAAGCCTTCCATCCTTCCAAGGTTGGCAAAAAGAGGACCCACATGTCTGGGGGCAATATGTTGGCTTTCTAAGCCGCTCAGAGAGGACCGTGAAGCGGTATCTAAGTCTAAGTACTGTTGCTATTCTAAGTGTGCAAAATACCTGCATGTACGTGCGAGAGCTTTGAGGTCTGTGACAATGCCTACCTCTAACACATGGTCCCTACAATGTGAGCTAGGACAAGATGCACCCCCTGGGCTTAAGAGGTAATCATCAACACTGCAAAGAGATTTGCTGTGATCATCCTAGATGGGATGTCTCAAGCCTTCGAGCGATGCTCTTTTGGCAGGACGGGCCTCTACGATGGGAGAACAAGCGCTACCTTCTGGAGAGGATTCGGTCCATTTTGCACTAAGGGTGCTTGGTTCCCTGAGTGAGGCGTCGTATTTGATGCTGGCTTAAACAAAGGTTGCTGAAGGTTTGTAGCAGACGGATTCTGATAGGAAAATACTGTGTTAGGTGAGGTAGGAGGAAATACCTATAAAAACAAAATACAATGTTGAACAAACTCTACATAAAAATATTTAAACAAAATTATGCAGGGTTGATAGGAAGACACTAAAAACAAACCTGAATATTTATAGCATAATAAAAAAAACTTAAATGGAGTTCAATCAGTATTGTCTTTGTTCACATACATGTATGTGCACCCAAAACATAATAAACACATGTGCAATGAACACACATTTGCCTTCAGAGTGGATAACTAAATGACCTGTAACTCAACATAATGGAAAGTATAAAGACCAGAGACCAGCTATGCAACATTTTAAAATTGAATGTCTGAAAACAATATTATGTTAGACAGCAGATGTGCCGCACTAGAGAATTTAACTCTTTCTAAAACATTTTTTTAAATTCTAAGTATAATGAAATAATCTATACCTCACTTACCTATGCAAAATAATTCAAGGATTTAGTTTCAAACAGGGGACAAATATTCTGGCTAAATTTGAACATCAGAACAGGACAATGCTTGATTAAATAAAAGAGCCGTTGTGGCGCAATGGTTAGAATACAGTACTGAATGCAGTTCGAGTCCCACCGACTCAAGGTTGCCTTAGCCTTCCATCCTTCCGAGGTGGGTAAAATGAGGACCCAGATTATTGGGGGCAAGAGGCTGACCCTATAAAACCCTTAGAGGGGGCTGTAAAGCACTGTGAAATGGTATGTTAGTCTAAATATTATTGTTATTGCTAAGTCTGCATGTTATTCCATCCTGCATCTTGTTTTACTGAAGAGTGACTATACGACCCCACACAAGTAATAGAATACAGAACTTTAGCTATATAGGGTATAATCCCTTTGTACATAAACCTTCACCAACCTTTCTGTTTTCTGAGCTTTGGCCAGCTCCATGCTGCGGGGAAGCATTTTGTTTGGGGGATGACATGTGCATCTGTGGTACTTTGGGGACCAAACCAGAAGTAGATACTTGTGCGATGGCTGGAATACCAGCTTGTGTTTGAACCTAAAATAAAAATGTATGGCTTCAATTTGCTGGATGCAAAAGATAACCGCATTGATGTCAAGGTAGCCAAGATGCATTATTTTCCAATCCCAGTCTACTTCAAATGAAAAAAAAAAATGCAGGACTTCTACCATATTTAAGTGAAATTTCTGTACAAAATTGTAAGGAATAAAATGGATTGATAGTTATGCACCAGTTATAATATACTACCATCTGGTGAACTGGACAAATGAGGATGCCATAACCCTCCAGCAGTTAAATTCAAAGGTAAATTTTATCATATGGAAAGTGTGTGTGTGTGTGTGTGCATGGACATGTATTGCCTTATGATGACAAGACATTTTTTTAGGGATAACAGAAATAAGTTTAGCCAAAATCTGTTTAAAATGTTAATTGGATAAGAACTTTTTTTAGATCAAAGTAAACATTTGAATTTTTGCTCCCTAGCTATTTGCCCTAGAAAATAGAAATAGTTTAGGGTTTAAGTAACCCATTATCCCATTTAGATTACCTATTGGATACCTCATTACTATATCAGACCCAATTCTATAACACTTCATTGGAAAAAGTAGAAGAATAGAGCTATGGTATTGTCAGTTCCCAACCCATTACAAGAATCTGTAATTTCTTTGAAAATGAAACAAAAGCACCCTCAATTGCATTCGTAACAGTTTCTCCTTAGACAATACTAGAGATAATTTGAAGGACCATCAGGTCTATAGGGAGTTGTTTAATACCCAATTCCACAAGACAGTATGTTATACCAGCTATTCACCGTCGTGCATGCTTCTGTCAAGGGGATATTAAGACCTGCAGTGGCACAGTGGTGCGTGCAGTACTGCCAGCTACTTCTGCTGACTGCTGGCTGACTGCAATTTGGCAGTTCAAATCCCACCAGACTCAGAGTTGACTCAGCCTTCCATCCTTCCGAGGTGGGTAAAATGAGGACCCAGACTGTGGGGGGGAAATAGGCTGACTCTGTAAACCGCTTAGAGAGGGCTGTAAAAGCACAGTGAAGCAGTATATAAGTCTAAGTGCTATTGCTGCTATATTAAACCATGATTAATTTGCCTCCAGAACAAGACTCTCAAACCCCTCAATCTGTTTTTTACACAACATCAGGAAGCTTCCAGGTTCGTCTATATAACCTGGGGAGTAAAAGCTAACACATTTCCAGTTGCATTCACGAATGTCTCCTTGACTACTAGCGGCCAGTGGATTATGGTTAACCGCAGATGTACCTGGATGTTGCTCACAGGCAGTTGCACCGAAGTGGCTGAATTTGGGCCCTGCAGAGAGAGCGGCAGGAGCAGCTGGGCGGTCCCTGAGGCAGCCAGCAGAGCTTGAGGATGGGCAACGACCGCCGTTTGGGGCTGTCTCTGTGAACTCACATAGAATTGAGATATGACGTTCTGTGGCTCCGCTTGGGCCAAAGGTATCTCTTGCTTGATAACCACGGCCTTTTTGGCAACTAGATTTTGGATCTCTGCTGACCTGGGCTGCCCTAAAGCATGGCTGGCATCAGAGACCAACTGCCTTGCCTCAGAGCTGTCTGCCCCAGTGCCTTCTTCTTTCACCGAGGAGCTGCTATGCTGAGGATTCAAAGTCGTTGGCGTGTTAGCCGAAGCTTGGGCCTGCTGCTGCTGCTGCTGCTGCTGATGGCTCCTCTTCTCGACCTCCAGTTGCATCTTCAGCACTTCCACCAACTTCTGTTCTTGTTCCAGTTTTCTTTTGAGCTCCTCAATCTGCTTCTCTTTCTCTTGAAGCTTGCGGTCCTTCTCCGTGGCATCCAGGTCCATGCCGGAGGCGATTCCGCCGTCTTCGTTTGCGGCTGCTCGGAGAGGGGAAGCGCTCGGGAACTGCGACGGAGAAATCAGGGTCATGATTTCCGTCAAAGTGTCGGCCATGTTGGCATCGTCCGTTCGGAGACTGGACTGTTCCGAAGGAGAAGGGGAAATGGGCAAAGGGGACCCCACGTGTTCCAGGGGGCCCGTTTTGCTGCCGGTTCCAACAGATGCTGTTTCCGAAGAGGTACTGGGAGCAGAATTCACTGCCGGCTTATTTAATGGCGCAGCAAGGAACGGTGTAGTGACTTCTCCAGGTTTACTGGTTCCATTACTGGAAGCAGTTCCTGTCCCTGTGTTACTTGTGCCAACAGAATTATTGTTCAGATCCTGATAGGGTTTCAGACGCTCAATGAGATCCATCTTAGTTCCAGACACAGGCAACCCTCTTAGCTTTAATTCCATTTTCAGTTCAGCTACCTGAAATGGAGGAGAAGGGAGAGGGGAGGAGACAGTGGTTTTTAATAGAAATGAAGTTCTTAGAACAAGGGGGTCAAATTCAAGGCCCGTGGGCTGAATCTGGCCCACAGGGTGCTTAGATCTGCCCATGGGGCCGCCCTGGAAACTGTGAAGGACCGGCCCGCAGTGCCTCACACGGCTCTCCTGAGCTCCGTTTTGGCTGGCCGAGGGTTGCAGGAGGTCATCGCAGCTGAAAACGGAGCTCGGGAGCCCCTTTTTGCTAGTAGAACACTCGGGCTCCCACAGATGCCTCCCGACACGAGTGATGTTGAGCTGGCCATTCCCGCCCTGGCCATGCCGACACCGCTCCCCCCCCTCCAAGGTCAAACATAACCCTGATGCAGCCTTCAATGAAATCGAGTTTGACACCCCTACCCTAGAATGAAGAATCAAATAAATTACCACCATCAGATGCAACATCACCAGCAATGTATTATTTGCTTAAATCCTGCAGAATAAAACCAAAAAGTACAATGGGCCCTGAATAATGGGCATGAAATATTAAAATTACTAGAAGCAATGGAGCCGTGTGGATCCTGCCTAAACAAAATATTGGAACTCGGGGCTTTGTTTGAGACTTCCACGCATCTACATCTCTATATCTCTGCCTCCGCCGCATACAGCCTACATCCATGCTGATGAACAAGCTGGTAGGGTAAGATGCCTACAGAGCTCTTGAGTTCTGGCCTGGATAGTATTTAATTTCCATTGCATTTTAAAAGGATGTGTTTTTTTTTAAAGCAGCTTCGACTCTGCATATATTTGGAAGCCAAGAAGAAAAAAAGGTAATTCTTGGTTGAATAGTGAAAGTGAAATAGTGAAATTCTTGGTTCAAAAGTGAAAGAAGGGAGGGAGGGAGGCAAGAAGGAAGGAAGGAAGGAAGGAAGGAAGGAAGGAAGGAAGGAAGGAA